TTGATGACCTGTTCGAGTATTTGAGGCATGATGATGACTACGTCCCCCTTGAAGCAATTGACTGTCCTTTGAAAAAAGAAATTGACTGTCTTCTAGAAGGAGAAAGTGGTCTAGTAGGAGTAAGACCAGAAGATGTTCTCACTGAGCGGCCTATTCCTTCATTTGAAGTCGCCGCCCCATGCGAGCAGGGCTTAAGGCTGCCCGCAAAATATTGGAAGCTGGCTTACGACATACTCGAGGAGGACTGGAGGCATTTGGTGCCATTCGACATTGCGGGACTGACAGTTTTTGGACTGGCCAAAAAGATCAAGGAATGTGAGGGTAACGAAGAGGTTAATTTTATGCTGACAACAAGACGTTACACATTGGAGCGGGGTGAGTGGGACAGTAGGGAGCTTCAAGCGAGGTTGAATTCAGGATATTTCAACACAGAGGTTTTAAGGGAGGAAGCCGTTCACAAGATTGCACCGGAAAGGGCGAATGATGTAATCGAGGAGTTATTGCTGCGTTGGCCGATGTTTTCCCTTGAGGGATCGATCACCAGCCGAATGCGTTTCTGGTTTCGGACCCGTGGCTGGTTCTTTTCTCCTGCTTCCAATGGGCCATATATCACCGATCGCGAGTTGGAGTCGCTGCTTTTAAAGAAGGCGGCATTTTTGAGAGTGCCTTTGACAGAAGTTCCGAAGGCGATTCGGAGGGAGCAGCGGAGACGACGAATACGTGAGGCAGCGCAGGTCCAGGGTGAGGCTGTGAATGACAGTATTCCTGAATTCCTAGTCAATCGTTGGGGACACAAGTTTCAGATAGCGACGGTAGATGAGGCAAGACTCCGGATTAGCCCGTCGTGCTTGGTATGGGCCTACGACGTTAAAAAATATGGCTGGTGGAGCACGGTACCCAAAGGTATAGATCCGATCGGAATGTCAGTCTTCGGTTTAGCCAAGGCCGTCGAGGGAATTCGGAAGCTACCGTATACCTTGTCAGCCTCCTGTTATTCATGCACAGAACATGACACACGTCACCGAAATGGAAACGGATGTGAGAGATGCGAGAGCCATTGGGACCTTGTGGAGTTTTGGGAATGGTTACGTTCAAGACATTTTTGTGAGGCACGCGAAATTCAGAGCGACAGC